TATCTTATTATTATATTCTTATTAGCCTGTTTTCTTATCTTATTATCTTATATATATATTATTTTATCATCCTCCTCTGCTTTCTTATTATTTATTATCTTATTATATATATTAACATCATCCTCTTCTGTTTTCTTATTATCTCATTATCTTATGTTTTATTATCTTATCTTATTAGCCCGTTATCTTATTTTTTTTACTATATTATATATATATTGTCTTATTCTCCTCTGTTTTCTTATCACAGGGATGGGGAGCGCTGGTCCCTGTTATGGTGGGGGGGACTTCAACTCCCAGAATTCATGAGCCTGGGGGATTCTGGGAGTTGGAAGTCCACCAGTCATCAAAAAACCCTCGTTTCCTACCTGTGGCTTCACACGTCCAAACAGATTCTCCTGTGGTTGGATCCCTTCTCCCAATTGCTGGGCAGTGGGGCAGGTGCAGGGGTGGTGTGTTACCAGTTTGGTATGGTTCGACCGAACTGGTAGTTAAAAAAAAACAAACCTTCAATCAGCCGAGAGAAGGAAGCCTCCCACAATCCGCTTAGACTAGGGGTCACCAACCTTTTGGACTTCAGGGACCACCCAACTCATCATTTCAAATCCTGCGGAGCAGAGACCCTGGGAAAATCCCCCCAAAAAAGTCTGCAGAAAAATCCCCCACCCTGTTTTCCTACCGATCGATCGTTCTTTATTTGGGATCACAGGATACTGTCTCCATTCTCAGCAGGAGAGAGAGAGAGAGAGAGAGGAGAGACTTTTGGCTTCGTGCAAGGAAAGCAGCAGAAACTGCAGAAGTCTTTCTTTCTCTCCCTGAAACTCCACCAGAAATGAGTCTTTGTGAGACTTTGTCATGCCGGTGCAGCCTCTTGGGGCAGGATGCCGTGCAGGGTCCCACAGACTCGTTTCTGGCGGAGTTTGGGGGAGAGAAAGAAAGACTTTGGCTGCTTTCCTTGCATGCAGCCAAAAGCAAAAGAAGAAAGAAGCGGAAAGAAGCAGCCCGGTAGCTAAGCCAGGCGCGTGGGGCACATCAGGCAAGTTTCCCCCCCTCCCCCCTCCCCTCATGTTGCGCACAGTGCAAGTGACGCAAGCCTTGTGTTCCTGCGGGTCGTGTGGGCAGCACAGCCTTGTGTTCCCACACAGCCTGCATTAGTTAGTCAGCTTCCTCTATTGTCCTTGCACCTCATACAATGGAATCCAACACCATCTTCAGTGCACGTCAGGACCATGAAAATAAACCGAAACGAACATCCTTCCTACTCCACATTAATTGCTCGTGGGGGGTGGTGGTGACATTTCTTGGTGGGCCACCAAAATTTTCTCGTGGGCCGCCAGTGGTCGCCCGGCCCACCAGTTGGCGACCACTGGCTTAGAGGATAAAAGACCGAAAAGTGCGCGGGAGGGAGGGTTGCCACGCCTAGCTTTTCGTTTCTTCATCCTCTTGGCTGATTGGCTTGCTAGGGGCGCGCACGCACACGCATGGGCAATCACCGGCCGAACCGGTAGTGGCTAAGGTAGGATCCCACTACTGGGATCCTATGAAGGGGAGGGGATCGAGGGGGTTATCGTTATCTTCCTGCAGGTCGTCATCTTTCCTCCCCGCTCCGCAGGCTCACTTCACCGCCGAGTGCCGTTTCAAGGAGTGCGTCTTCGAGAACTACTACGTCACCTACTCCTCCACCTTGTACCGGCAGAGGGAATCCGGGCGCTCCTGGTACCTGGGCATCAACCGAGACGGGCAGGTGATGAAGGGCAACCGAGTCAAGAAGACCAAGGCCTCCGCCCACTTCCTGCCCAAACTGCTGGAAGGTAGGCAGGCGAGGAGGGGCGCTGGGACCATCCCCCCGAGCCCTCAAGCGAGTGGAGGTAGGTGGGTGGGTGGATGGGTGGGTGGGGGAGACAGGAGAAGGGGAGGGGCTCCGGAGACGGAGGTGAAGAAATGAAAGAAAGTCAGCCTGTCTTGAATAACTGCTAGTTGTTGCCTGGAGCTTCAATTTAATCTCCTTCCTTCCCTTTCTTTCTTTCTTTCCTTCTTTCCCTTCTTTTCTCCCTTTCTCCCTTTCTCTCTCTTTCCCTTCCTGCTTGTTTCCTTCCTTCCTCATCCCCTCCCTCCCTGCCTTTCCTTCCTTCCTTCCTTTTCCTTTTCTTTCTTTCTCCTTCTTTCTTTTCTCTCTCCCATCCTCCTCCCTTCCTTCTCTTTCTTTTTCATTCCTTCTTCCTTCCTTTATTTCCTCCCTGCCTCTTTCCTTCCTTCTTCCTTCCTTTCTCTCTCTCTCCCTCTCTCTCCCTTCCTGCTTGTTTCCTTCCTTCCATCCTCGTCCCCTCCCTCCCTGCCTTTTCTTCCTTCCTTTTCCTTTCCTTTCTCTCTTTCTTTCTCCTTCTTTCACTTCTCTTTCCCTTTCTCCTTCCTTATTTCCTCCCTGCCTCTTTCCTTTCCCTTTTCTTTCTCCTTCTTTCCTTTCCCTCTCCTGTCCTCCTTCCTCCCTTCTCTTTTTTTTTCTTTCCTTCTTCCTTCCTTCCTTTCTCCCACCTTCCTTTTTCTCTCTCTCTCCCTTCCTGCTTGTTTCTTCCTTCCATCCTCATTCCCTGCCCGCCTGCCTTTCCTTCCTTCCTTTTTCTTTTCTTCCTTTCTCTTTCTTTTCCCTTCTTTCCCTTCTCTCTCCCTTCCTCCTTCCTTCCTTCCTTATTTTCTTCCTGCCCCTATCCTTTTTCTTTATCTTTCTTTCCTTTCTCTCTCCCGTCCTCTTTCCTTCCTTCCTTCTCTTTCTTTTTCTTTCCTTCTTTCTTCCTTTCTTATTTGCTCTCTGCTTCTCCCTTCTTCCTTCCTTCCTTCCTTCCTTCCTTCCTTCCTTCCTTCCTTCCTTCCTTCCTTCCTTCCTTATTTCCTTCCTGCCCCTTTCCTTTTTCT